AAAACTTGCAGATAACTTGAAAAGCCGGATTTTTAATTCCTCTCTTGGAATTCTTGTGATTAAGAACACTTTTGTACTAAATTTTTAAACAAACATCGCTAAACCCGATACATAACATAACTAAACACCAACGATATGCCGAAAATCTATCAGGCTAGTATTAGACTAATTACTAAATGAATTACATAACCAATTTGGCTCTAGAGGTAGGCGTTAGGTGCCATCTCTGATTAATATTAATAATTATAAATAAATTAATTAATTTAAATAATTTAGAACCGCTGGGAGAAAAAAAATTGGCCCGGAGCGGGACTCGAACCCACAACTCCTGCTTACCGTGCAGATGTGTTGCCAGTTACGCTATCCGGACCTCAAGTCCGATCTCCTCTTCCAGCGTATATAAGCTAACTATATAACCATCGACGGTTGAGTGCCTTGGTGGACGTGGGCACTGAATGTGTCCCCAGCCAGCATTGTAATAACCGTCGATGGTTATATAGTTAGTAATACTAAATAGTTTAGTAATAAATAGTAATACTGGTAGAGAAATGAATCAATTTATTCTGTTGTTTTGTCTAATTTGTGGAAACGAGGAGTTAGTCAAATTGTACAGGAAGAGATGTAAGTTGTAAAAATAGTAAATAAATGTAAAAAAACAGATATAATGTAAGACATTAATATAATAATTTGTTCAATACAGGCTTAAGTTTACATTAATATTATTGTTGTTGGTTAAAATTGAATGTCCAGTAGAGTTAAAAATGAAAGAAAAAAGTCTGAAAATTGTAAGAATTTTATTAATGTATATAAGTAAATTTGTCGGTAAATGTTAAATGTAATTTTAAAATTTATTTTATTGTTTTAATTTATATAGAATAGGCTACAAAAATACCTGTTGAGGAGGGACGAAAGTGTCCGAAACGCAATATTATGTATGTGTCCAGGTATATTAAATAAAATAAAAAATTGTTTTCTGTGAAACTCTCTAGCATTATCTGTAAAGTCAGTATAATAAGTCCTGATATTAGAAGATACGTACTTGTAGACGAAAATTTATATTTTAATAGAAAAAAAAAAGTCGTCCCTATAGGAATATGTAATCTTATGTAGTTACAGAATAATAATCTTAATTATTTTATGAATGATATCATATTATACAAAAGATATGTTGATGATGATTTTATAATATGGTGAAGCAACCACAGAATTCAATAATTTTTGAATATGGTCAATGCCAACACCAATGGTTTGAGCCTTATATTAGAGCAAGAAAGTCCAACACATACATTACTTGAACATTAACATCATATTTAAAAATGGAAATTTAAGCATGAAAGTTTACATTAAACCTGCACATGACTCATTATATATCCCTTCTTATTCCAATGACACAAACTTTCAGCATTTCAAACACTTATCAGATCTTTTCTGTATTATTCCAATGTGTATGACAGACTAGAAGAGTCGAAAACGTTTGTTGTTTTCATTAAATATATTTTTACTGGTCAAGTAAAGGTTTTTATGTGTGTTTATATTAAGTAAATTGGACCAGTACCAGGTGAGAAGTAACTTTTAGACTAGAAGAGCTTAATAGAATTAAAGAAATTTCTGTAACATTGGGTTAGAGAACTTATCAAGAATTTACTAAAGGATATAAGGAAACCAAAGAAGGAACAAAAAGAAAAAAGATCTCAAGTTCTCATATGACAAAGACATAAAGAGCATTATAAATGAATTGACAGACTATAAAGATTCAGAGCTAGTTTTCAAAAGAGCACTCACTGTTTACAGCTTTCTGAAGACAAAAAACACAAAATAAAAAAAGAAAAACAGTCAGGAGTATATAGAATGCTGTATGAAAACAATTAGAATTAAAAAGAAAAAATATTGATCATGAAAAGAAATCCTGCAGTATGACTTAGAGCATATATTCAATGTTGAAAAAAGGACAATGTTGCACTATATTGTCTATGATGGTGCAAATGGAATGCTGAAGTATAAAATTGGGAGGAAGCTGACATCATTAAACCAGTACATTCACTATCTTTAACCATGAATATGGAAAAGAGAAATTTACAGAAGTAAGATAATGGATAGATATATATACTGTTCTTCATAATACTAACATTTAGCATTTGGCAATGTAGTAGATATTTTAAAAATTTTATGGAAGTTATTGAAACACTACATAACTTTTTTAATAATCCAAAACAAAATGAAGTCATGATTGTTAACAATTTGAAAAATTGTGCATCTGAATCTAGAAAACAAAACTTAAAGTTTTTCTAACAAGATGAGCTGATGCTGTAATGAAGCATTAATGGAATTATAAGATAGTACATGTTCTCTTGAAGAAATCACTATTTGAGAAGATAGAGAAATATCCATTAATGTGAAAATTTTAAAGTTTTATGTTGTGTGAAGTTAGACTTATAATATGTTTTATGTTTAGTAATGTTCATAAATGTTCATCATCTAATTCATCATCATCTAGTTGTTCATCATCTAATTCTATGCTAGATTTTTAAACAATTTGTCTTATAAATACCTGAAGAAAGTAGTTTTTGATTATTTAATTTGGTATTAGTTACAGATTGTATGAGTTTATTTACATATACTGTTTATGTTTAACATTGCTCTATATAATGTGATCATATACAACGGAACATCAAAATTTGATTCTTAAGTTTAATATAAAAAGTTATGCTAAAGTTTCTTTCTTTTAAAATATTTGTGTTTACAGCTAAAAGTGTAACAATTTGAGCACCTGGCTTCTATACTTAATTAATGAAAATCTATGTTGTCTTTGAAACTGTGTTTGATGAACGTGGACTTTGAACTCAAAATTGAGTTTTAAATAAACACTTGGCTTTATTTCCATCTCCATTTAGTTGATACGTGCCATTTGCACATTTCGGGGGTAAAGCTCCTCATCAGTCAACTAAATGATACAATATTTAAAATAGTGATACCTCGACTTACGCTACCCCGACTTACGTGAATCCGGAGTTACGCGATTTTCAAATCTCGTCGATTAGTCTTTTGTTTGAGCACCATGCAACTCTTGATTACTCATTTTTTCCACACTATTGCTCAGCTTACATGTTTGGACGTGTCGCACGGAATCGACACATAGCTACAATTTATTTTGTGTTATTTATTTCTGTGTTTGTTATATTTACGGAGCCTTGAGAAACTCTATGTGGTGATTTCTTACAACCGCAAACGAATCAAAAGACGAGATAAGATTAACGAGAACATTTATTAGCTTACATACATCCCACTTGGATTTTACACACATTGAGAAATTATACTCCGACTTACGCGAATTCGACTTACGCGGTTATCACTCGGTCCCACCTATCGCGTAAGTTCGAGGTATTAATGTATTACACTAAATATCTAACAAAACGGAATTAAAACAACGTATAGTTCTTACCATATCCATATTCAATCCGTGATGCGTACAAGGTCTTTACCCAATCGACACATACAACTTATCTCACAATAAGTGGAGTAGTTTCCCTTACATTAAAATCTGCTATATATAATCTTTCACTTATTTCACAGTATCCAACTATTACAATATCTAGGAAGTATAAACTCAATTACATGTACATTTCAGAAACAAGCAATTTTTTACATTGTCTTTTGACTGTATCCGCATCACTTACTGCATTGCAGTTTTATACTAATTTGCATATTACAGAGATATTATGAGTGGTAACAACAGTATAACTTTTACAGACAACTATAATCGATATTAATATATACCGCATGTTTTATAATATTTTCAACCAGTTTTCATTTATTTTTACACTTAGATTTTTATTGATACAGTTTTTGGTTGTTAAAATTGAAACACTTTCCTTAAATTTTCTATTATACATGTTCTTTTCTTTGTATAAAATTTGAACATTATTTTTATCTATATTACAGTCATTTAATAAACAATGGTCATGAAAAACGGAGTTTAGTCTATGATATCCGAGATCAGCAATGTGTTCCTTTAATCGTATACTTAGTTTGTGTTTAGTTTCTCCTATATAGAAATTAACTGTATTACAGGTACACAGTATCTTATACACTATGTTCTTTGTTTCTTCATTTTTATTGTCTGCTTTTTTAGTTTTTACGAGGTTAATCTATTTTTTAGTTTTTCATATTTTAAGACTATTTTCATGTTTATTTTTTGACACAAAGATACAGGTTAGAACTATAAGCAGAGTTACACACAACCAAAATATTGAACCTAACAACGTTAATGAAATCTGATAAAAATAAATTTCATTTCATTTATGATATTTTAACACATGAAAATTCTTGAACAAAGTTCCATGATACAGAGATTATGTTAATATTATGATGATGATAATGTGATTATAACAAAACAGAATAATTTAAATTGTTTAATATTGGCTTATAAAAATATCAATAAAATTCAAAATATAGGAAAAGGTCAATAAGCTAGTGTAAACTATTATAGTTCCAGTAAGAAAGTATTTATTTGTGTAAACTATCTAGTAATTTAAGTAAATTATATTCAAATTAAATTTTTACCATATGTAATGTGATCAAAATTGAATTTAATAATTTAAATTGAAGATTTTAGTAAATTAATATATAGAAGTATTGTTAACATTAATTTATTAGTTTATAAATATTTTTGTGACACATTCCTAAAAACTATTAGAAATTACTGTAATATATCAATGATTAAGAAATTCAGTCAGAATTGATTTATTCTTTATTTGCATTTCTTATAATTTGGCATTACTATTTTATTAATTAAACAAATACTGTTTATATATGCATATTAAATCTCTTTCCTAATATTTGATAAATTAAATTTATAATAATGCTTCAATTTTACAATTAAAACTTGAATTTTTTTTTTCAATGATTAGATGAAAAATTATTGTATTATTTTTATCTTACAACAAAAATTGTTTATATACATTTTCATGTTAAAATACATATACAACTTCTTAACTTCTCTCAAATCTTACCAGTCTGTTTAATTGGAATGTAAAACAACTTTTCTTGTATCTNACTACGAAAAAATATACGTATTTTGGAAATGTTGAGTCGGATTAGTGTAGAATCGATTAATTTTATGGAAGAAAACCTTTCAATCAGTCGTAGTCCGTAAACTTGACACGTGTCGGGCTGTGATTAGAACGACTTGTAAGAAATCAGATTCCTAATAAATTGGAACGTATCTATATCTTATAGGGGGGTCGACTGTACTCAAAATTTGTTAAATTTTCAAGTTTTTTTAATAGAACAATAAACATGCTGCTTACAAATAGGCATTCTAATGTTTTTTGTTGCTTTGAAAGCAAGCTATTACTTTATTGTTTTCTGTATAATATTTGGACTTTTTTTAAAATAAACATTTTTCCTAAATTAAATTAGCTTTATAATCAAATTGTTGGTTTATTTTATACTGATTTTAATAATGAAAAAAAATTTAGGCTGGGTATGAAAATTACATTAAAAATGAGTTTGTATTTTATACTATAATTATAATGGAAATTTCTTCTAAAAGTTTTTAGTACTGTATTAACAAGTAATTAATGGCCAGATGGCCAAGCAGTTAAGGTGGCAGTTAAGGCCTACTGCTCTGGGGGACCTGGGATCAAATCTGGACAGGTTGAAAAATCCCCAGGAATTTTTTTTGGGGGTGGTCTGTTTGGATATGTTGGGCCCTGTCCCTCACCACCCAGTCATCCCATTTGGCCTGGCTGAACCCATAATGGGCTTGCTTTAAGAGGCCCTCTTAGTGCCCACAGGGTGGAAAGAGTTTAAAAGAAAAAAGTACTAACAAGTAAGACTAAAAGAAGTATTATAATTTAATATATTGGTTTCTTTAATGGTCCAAGTTTATAAACATTCAGAAGATATAAAATATTTCAATTGTTTTGATAATTTAGTTCCTTGTTTGAACATTAAATTATTTCTTTTGACATTGAAGAGGTTTGTTATTGGAGGTTTTGATAAAATACTGTATTGTGTTTGGTAGTATGAATTTGAAAATAATAAAGAAATGATAAAATTCAGAAATGTTGGATTTTATAACTTTGTTATCTTATATCTGATAAACAAAAATTTAAGCACCAATAATTAAAAATGTAAGAAAAGAAATAGATAATTATAATATATTATTTGAAAAATATTTATGCTTACACATTTGAAGAGTCCATTTTGAAAATGAGCATTTTAGAATAATCTAGATTTTTTTTATCATCTTGTGTTTCTTGAATGTTTATCTTCCTTTCAATCTATAATGTTATTAATGTTTCTACTATCAGTAATTTGTAAAGGACTTAATCATAATAGTAATAGTAAAAATATTACTTGAATCTAAGTAAAACTGTCTTTTAGATATTTTGTGTGTAAAGTCTGAAAATAGTTAAAGTTAGATATCATAATGTCAGTTATTCAGCATTATTGCAGTCAATTATTTTCCAAATAAAAAAACTGTTATTTTTATGTAAATATTTTATTTAATACCGAATAATCAAAATTGTGACAGAAAATATATAAACTATATGGTATTATATAAATTTGTTTGATTATATAATTGAATCAAGATTCTTAGAAAAGGGTCCATGTGGAATCAAGATTACTTAGAAAAGGGTCCACTGAACAAATGAAAAATTTTGAAGTTTAAACAGACTGAAAACTTTTCTACAAGACCAAATCAATCTTTGCTATAAACTTTCTCAATAAAATGAAAGTGAATTGCAAATATTCATAAATAGTTTATCATTCATTCAAAAATGCAGACATGCCAGTTGATTATTTTATCTTGTATGATAAAATGATCATATGTGTTTGTGTTATTAATTATTATTTATTGAATTTAAAGTTTCTAGAATAAAGAATATTTAACTACAGTCAAATAATTATTATTATTATTATTATTATTAATTTTTGGTAATTGTCATGCTTCCTTAGTATTATCATCATTACTTTTAATTTTCATTCCTTAAGAATTACAATATTAATATTAATTCTTTTCTATATTTATTATGAATTTACAGTAGTTTATATATTTTTAAACTTTGTTCTCTGTAAGTTTAGTTAACAGTAACTATTGAAACTTCATTTTTCTCTAATAGTATGTTACAAAAAAGAACTTGAATAATAAAAAAATAATATGATATAAATAATTGTAACAAATTTTATTACTATGTTAAGTATCTATTATTTAAAACATAAATGATAATGAAATTTTATATGATAAAAGAATATTTATATAAGAATTTTAGGAGTTCAATACTTATAGAATACAGAGGTATATATTATTCTATTAATTTAAATGGATACAATATAACATATCTTATAATAAGATAAATGAACCCTTCTATAAAATTTCTAAAATTTGATATTTGAAATCCTGAAGTTATAGATACGATTTAACTATCCAAGCAGCTTGTGCATTTGATTTGCTGGATTTCGAACTTCATTTTGATGCTATGCAGAAAGCTCCAATTTAGATTGCAATTCTGGACAGCAGGTGTTCTTTATAGCAGTAATGGTGGGAGGAATGAGTTGTGCATACTCAAACGTTGGAGTAGGTATATGTTTTGGACCTCGTGATATTATTTGATGAATATTCATCAAATATATTCAAATATTCATCAAATAATATCATGAGGTCCAAAACATATACCTACTCCAATGTTTGAGTATGCACAACTCATTCCTCCCACCATTACTGCTATAAAGAACACTTGCTGTCCAGAATTGTAACCTAAATTGGAGCTTTCTGCAGTAACCAACATAGCATCAAAACGAAGTTCGAAATCCAGCAAATCAAATGCACAAGCTGCTCGGATAGTTAAATCGTATCTTACAAGCACTTATTTAAATCTAAAGTTATAGAATTTTAAATCTTTTATAATAGCTTTAAAATTTCTCTCTTAACATTTTATACATCACTAATGTAGAAGATTTGTTAATGTCATAGTAAAGAAATATATTAAATTATTTAAATGTACCTAAAATTTAATTTAGCAATATTTTATATTTTATGAACTTGATCATAAATTTTTAAATAATTTCAATTTCTCTTCTTTTTATGTAGGTTTTGAATCAAGTTGTACTTTGGGATAAAATTATTCAGAGAGGAGAAAATGCAATTTTGGATTACAAGAAATTAAATACTAAGTATTATTTTTGGGATGATGGGAATGGCTTAAGGTAAATTGAATATGAATATTATTTATCTAATGTTAAATTTAATAAATTAGGCATATGGAAGTGAAATTCTAAAAAACTTTTCTGTAAAACTATGTTAAATTTATATAATTATTTTTTATTAAACATTATATATTATTTATTTCTTTTACCACTATATCTGACAATTATATTTGACAGTCATGATTAAATTTAAACTTAGTTTTATTTACTTCTATAAGTTATATGTGATAGATTCCAAATTCATTAAATTTACTGATAATAATTGAGAAATTATTCCAGTTTCTTGTAGTATTTTGAGTATAAATTACAAATAACTCTTCTGTAAAGTATTACTTGATAATATAAATAGTTTTAATTCTGAATAGTAAATTTTTCAACAAAGCACAGATTAAAATTGTAATTAGTTTTAATCCAATTCTACAATTCATCAAATAAATTTTTTAATATTTTAAAATGTTGATGTTTTCAATTTCTTTTATTTTTTATTCCTATTAAAACACAGGTCATTGAGAGCTTATATGAGGCCTAGAGGCAGAGTGGGTCTTTTTATCTTTTTTTTCCTCTCACAAACAAATGTCTAAAATTTATTTTGAAACACAACAGGTTCTCAGATTATATTTTATATATTCAATTGTGAAAAAATGTGATGTAGTAAACAGTATACATCTGTTTAAAAATACCTTCTCAGTTAAAAATTATGCATGTAGCACAGATAAATTCTTTGGCCATTATTGGTAACATTTACATAGGACATATTGATGATATTTACTGAAAATTTGTACAATTGGACACCTTAAAATATAGTTAAAGTTTTCAACTATTTTCTTGATGTATACTGGCTTCAGAGAAGATCCATCCCATGTGGTCACTGACAACTTAACAAATTAACTGCTTTTATTTGTAATTCATATCAAGATTTCTATTTACAAACTAAAACTTTTAATCAATTAGCTTTAATTTGACAGTTCTGATTCTAATATTCATTTATCCTCTTAAATCAGTTCTTCCCAGCTACTTAGTCTTTCTTCCTCTTTCCTAGCTTGCACTTTGCATTTTTTATTTTTTCAATTTTTCAAGAAGCTTTCAAAATATGAATCAATGAGCACTAAGCTTTGGCTCTATGGAGGACTTATCACACACTATTGACCAGGGCTTCAGAGTCGGGAGGAATTTCTGGTCAGAGGAGTTGGAAAAAATGTGTCAACTCCGACTCCCACATTTTAAATTTACTTTAGTTTTTTTTTATTTAAATGAAAGAAAATTTATTATATAGTTATTAATTTTTTAAAATCTTTTTGTATTTTGTTATAATTCATTTATTTTAAATACAAAATGCATCACTTTAATTTATTAAATATGTAGTATTCTTTGTAGTATTTGCATTTAGTAGTTAAATTATTTTGACCCAATTGAATTTGAATATTTTTGAATCATTTCTTTATTATCCCTGCTCTAAATAGTACTCTGTTTTTCTGAATGAGCCAGACTAATTGATCAGAGTACATATTTTTCTTTTCTGAATGAGGGACTGAAGTACCTAGCTAGATTGCACACTTTTTAGTTGGACTAACTCTTCTGGAAGGGTGAAATTGAAGTGCAAATGCTGTCGAATATATGTAGATGTAGAGTTTTGTTGCCTCCTTTCTCCTCTTATTAAATATTTGTTAAAAATTAATTTTTTTATACAAATAAATATTAATGTAAATTAAATATTAAAAATACTAACTATAAAAGCATTTGGGTAAACTCCCCAGGCTCTTTTCAGAGTTCAGAGTAGGGTATCCCCTATGAGCACCTCTTCCCCCATAAAATGACTTGGTATTTAATTTTGCTGGAGTCGGAGTCAGCCTACTAAAATTATCAGGAGTTGGAGTTGAGTGTTTTTTACCGACTCCGCAGCCCTGCTATTGACAGCGTCAGAGTAATCACACACAAGTGGGTAGACACAGGTTTTTTATGACAACAGTATGCATTTTGGACAAGTTGTCTGTTCCTCTTCAGCCACTTTTGTTACAATTTGGTGGGTTTACAGGCAAACTTATAAACAAAGTCTTGTTTATAAGTTTGTATTATGTTTATGTTGTATATAATTTATTTATTTCACAATTAATTTCATTAAGCAACAGTTTTATCTCTGGTTACTATTTGTATGGAAAACATAATATAACATCTGTGAAAAATCCCAAAAATCCACACAGCAGCAAAATAGAATGTACCTTTTAAGTATGTATAAAAATGTAATTTTGAACTATTTTAATCATAAACCCAAATGTTTGTAATGAAAAACCACTTGTATTTTTGTAGACGCCTGTAAACCCACCAAATTGTAACAAAAGCGGCTGAAGAAGGACAGACAACCTGTCTGAAATGCATACCATTGTCGTAATAAACCTGTTTCTATCCAATTCTGTGTGATTATTCCAACAATGTCAATGGTGTATGATAAGTCCTCTGTAGAGCCAAAACTTAGTGCTCATTGATTCATATTGTTACATAAGATACAAAAAGTAATCCTGTCAAAAATTAATGCCTCTTCTTTTTAAACAAACATCTTTGTGTTTATTTAATTTTTAGTTTATCCAAACTGTTTTCATTTTATCTGTTAAATTTTATATTGTTGAAACTGCTATATTTTAGTATAGCATTCATATAGCTCATGTAATTATAGCTTTTTATGATTTTGCAATATTTTGTTCAAATTATGTTAAATTTAAAGTAATCTGTGTAACATTGACTGTGGACAATCTGCCAAAGAATATATAATAAATATATTAGTGCATTGATATACTTAAACTATCTGAAGTATTTTAATAATTTAAAAAATATATTTTTATTTTTCAGAGGAAACAAAAATGTTACATTAACATTATCTTGGAATATCATTCCTAATGCCGGTAGCCTTCCAAATATTGTAGGAACAGGAAGCCACAGTTACAGTTTCCCTACAGAATACACCACATCGCGTCTGTAAAAAGTAAAGCATCCACATCTTTTAAGGAGCCTTACTACCATCCATCATTATCAGAAATCTTGGATAAATAGTTGAAAATTTGTTGTCTATACTTTAATAATGTGATTAACTGAAATTTATGAAACAATCCAACACATACTTCAGTATTTATTTAAAAAAAAAAAGAAATAGAAGTTAATTTATTCATTTCTCATTTTATGTTAAAATACTTTATTTAGAGTGCAGTATTTATATTTAATTGTAAAGCTTAACTTAATTACATAATTTGTTAGATTTTTTTTATCTGAGTTTTTTTATGTTCTGTTTTGTTTACTGATATATATTTCTGATAAAATTGCATTTGAGTTCAGAAAAATTATGTAACACTGAAAGAAATATAAAATTTTAATAAAGATGACAATAATTTTCAACTTAAGTTTACATATATACATTTTTTTTATTCTTTCACTGTATAAAAATAAATGTTTAGAATCAACGTAAGTTTGAAGAAATTTATAAAATTAAATATTAAGAAGAGTTGAAAACCATAAAGGAAGAAATATTTTCAAACCTGTTAGAATATTGTGTAATAAAACCATAAAGAAAGTAATTCAGTTTTTGATAGATTCACTTTATGTTAAGTTAACTGTTCTATTTAGTAAGTTATTTTGTGATGTATTCCAATAATCTATAAAATTTTCATTTTATTGTTCAAGAGAAATACATTGCACCAAACTAGAAATAACAATCCTTTTTTTCCCTCATTCAGTATACATCTTCCATTCTTTTCATTTTGATTATCATCAGAGAGAGAATAAGAGATTTTAATCATCCTCTATTATGCAAATTAATCATATAAAAATATGATTTATCTTAAAAAATGAGATCAACTATCTGTGCATTAAGATGCCATCTTATTGCTGTAAGGCTTCACGACAGTGACAGGCATCAGAGATGATAAGATCGTGGAAGTTAACACTCAGCCTTTTAAAATAATACTACTGTAGGGAATCCAGGTTTGAATTTGATGTAAACTCATAATTTCCCATGGTTGACAGTAGTTGGAGATCTGTTGTTGGGGCAATGATGGAGAATCCTTTACCCAGCAATAAAAAAATATAAATAGAACTATAGAAAAACAGCATGGATCAACATTTCTACATTAATAAAAAATAGAAGGATAAGAAATATAGTAAACATGTAATTGTATGTCATTATAATTTCTATATTAATGTTACATAAACTAATGCCTGTAATGTAATTTTTGAAACAATTTTCTGTACCTACTAAGGAATACTAATACAAAATAGCTTAAACACTGCCTACTTTTTATTCCTTTCATTTTCAATTCAGACTGTATCTGTAAGCTGTTAAATGCCAATTGCCTGTTTTTATGTGGTAGGCAGTACACAGTATTGAATAAAAAATCATTGTAAACATAACCATTTCTGAGGTAAGTAATTCGACAAAAACCTGGAATTTTTAAGAGTTTACAATTCTAAGATGTATATACGAAAATGGAAGGAGGACATGTGGAATACTTGCTAACTGAGGTAAAGATACGGCAACATTTACTCCCAGCAACAGGTAGAAGCCAGCAAGTCAGTCATGATACTAACATATGAATTGTTAATTAATATCTCAAATAGTTGAGTTTTCCATCTGTTTACTAAAGTGTTTTTACTTAGTATGATATATACTTGAATGCTTATTATTATTTTTTAACATCCTGCAAATTTGGCCTGGACACACAACCAGGCTGGTGAGTCAGGTCATCCTGTAAAAATCTTAATTATGGTTGCCATACTGTTTTAGAGAATAATTAATTGATCATCATTCTCTAAGAATAAATCATATATTAGAAGTTAATATAAAAATCTGTATTGGTAATTTTTGCTAATTGTTAACTGATGGAAGTAGAGCAAAGTATATGATTAGACTGTTAAACTGTACAATGTTAAAATAAAATCCTGATGATGATGTGTGTGACTGATGATAAAAGAATACTGTATGTTGGTTAGTTGCTTAACGAAAATTTAGAAACGATTTTCAATAAAGGTAAAACTTTGAACAGATTTTCTTCAAATTTTATGAAAAACTGCAAGTTGGCTGTATTTTTCGATTTTAATGGTTCAAAAACCGAAATTAAGTCTTTATTAACGAACTCTTGAACTTTTCTATGACATCATTCTGTTTTCAAAATAGAATTTGATTTCACAACTTTTTACGTAATATTATTTTACTTAAAAGTTATTTAAACTTTCAAAATTTGTTTATTTCATCAAACTTAGGATAAAATGTGATCGTAAGTGCGATATTGACAGATGACAAAAACTTTTCGTTTAAAATAGTGTGTTATGACAAAAATATTTTATTCATAATTATATTTTTAATTTCCCTATTTAATGATGCAGTAAAAATAATGATGATGGTGATTAAATACAGTGCATCAAAACTTGAGTTAATTTCTCCCATCTTTGTTTATACATATTACACTTAAATGTGAAAATGAATTTTATAGATATGATGATGGCTTAGGCAGGGGCGCCGCTAGCTGTTTGAACGCCCGTGTGCAATACCGATTATGCCGCCCCCTGTTTAACTACAACAACCTAGGCTGAGCTTGCCAGTAAGGCTCTTTAGTGTTGTCTCATAAGGGTGTGAAAAAAAAAGAAATACTTTATAAAGAAAAACTATTTATTATTACTAAGTTATTTTTGTTTACTTAAGTGTAAAACCATATAAATATTTATTTACAGAAATTTAATTCTTCTTGCCTTTATGTTTGCGAAATCTGCTATCAATTTTCTTGTATCCAAGCTGTCTAAGATTTCGTGTTCAATTGAAACTATAGCTAAATTACTTAGTCTTTGCTGGTACATTGTTGATCTTAAATAGTTTTTTATAATTTTTAACTTTGAAAAATCCTTTCAGCAAATGCAACTGAAACCGGCAATGTAAGTAATATTCTTAGTGCTATTGCTGTGTTAGGAAATGTTGATATTAAGTCATTAGTAAAAAGATATTATAATAGGGTTTGTGGATCATTAAACTGGTTTTCTGGAAAATGCAACTTTAAAGTACAGATTTCAGTCATACAAATCAATACTGTCAATGTCTGTTTCACTACTCGAATCGTCTTTAAGCTTCAGATTTAAATGCTAACCCAGTTAAAATATGATTAATTATACTTAGACCCATGTCAGAAAAATTATTAACAAAATAATTGCAATTTGATATGCGATAGAAGTGTTCGAATGCGTACAAGTACAAATTGAGAAGGAAGCTCTGTGGGGATTCCCTGTTATCGCCAGTCCTATCAACTTCTGTCATAGAGCATGACTATGAGTACTTGGCTTTCGGGCGCCGCCGGATGCTTCAACCTGCCGACAGACGTTTCGCATTTCATCTTAATTCTGATAGTTTTTAAAAACTTATAAAAAAAATATTTTGATTGACTTTTAAAATATTGATATTTTGATTTTTTCCATTATTTAGACGGTCACTCGTTAGTAAGTTGCAGTTTAAAATTATCACGTAGACGTAAATGAGTTGAAAATAATTAATCAAATGTTTCTTAGAGTATTTTGTCTATCAGTGGCGGAATAGATACAACCACTGAACACTGGTCGTGGGTTCGCGCATCGCAACGGACTGACCACAAGTTTTCCGAGTTTTCTTCATGTTTTTAATACCTAAATAATGACAAGTTTTCTTATCATTATTTAGGTATTAAAAAGTTTTCTATAAAAATTCTCTCCGGAGGCATTTCCCTCGGAAGATTGTCGCACTGTAACCAAATAAACCGAACCTTAAAATATTTTACTCCTATTTAAAATCACTTTTAACTCTTCTTCGATGGTGTTTTTTTTTTTTTTGGTATTTTTTTTATATGGAGATGTTAGCTCAATGTAGGCTCTTTCTCCGAGTAGACTTGGGTATGTGTATGATCGCTAGGCGACCGATTAGCCGGCTGTATCGAACAGCCATACGTACGCGCAGGAAATAAATGCCTTCCGGGAGGACTTTTATGGGGGAACTGGCCTCCTATTCAGTCGTTATAGGCAAGGAGAAAACCCGGAAAACTCCANATGATGGGAATGGCTTAAGGTAAATTGAATATGAATATTATTTATCTAATGTTAAATTTAATAAATTAGGCATATGGAAGTGAAATTCTAAAAAACTTTTCTGTAAAACTATGTTAAATTTATATAATTATTTTTTATTAAACATTATATATTATTTATTTCTTTTACCACTATATCTGACAATTATATTTGACAGTCATGATTAAATTTAAACTTAGTTTTATTTACTTCTATAAGTTATATGTGATAGATTCCAAATTCATTAAATTTACTGATAATAATTGAGAAATTATTCCAGTTTCTTGTAGTATTTTGAGTATAAATTACAAATAACTCTTCTGTAAAGTATTACTTGATAATATAAATAGTTTTAATTCTGAATAGTAAATTTTTCAACAAAGCACAGATTAAAATTGTAATTAGTTTTAATCCAATTCTACAATTCATCAAATAAATTTTTTAATATTTTAAAATGTTGATGTTTTCAATTTCTTTTATTTTTTATTCCTATTAAAACACAGGTCATTGAGAGCTTATATGAGGCCTAGAGGCAGAGTGGGTCTTTTTATCTTTTTTTTCCTCTCACAAACAAATGTCTAAAATTTATTTTGAAACACAACAGGTTCTCAGATTATATTTTATATATTCAATTGTGAAAAAATGTGATGTAGTAAACAGTATACATCTGTTTAAAAATACCTTCTCAGTTAAAAATTATGCATGTAGCACAGATAAATTCTTTGGCCATTATTGGTAACATTTACATAGGACATATTGATGATATTTACTGAAAATTTGTACAATTGGACACCTTAAAATATAGTTAAAGTTTTCAACTATTTTCTTGATGTATACTGGCTTCAGAGAAGATCCATCCCATGTGGTCACTGACAACTTAACAAATTAACTGCTTTTATTTGTAATTCATATCAAGATTTCTATTTACAAACTAAAACTTTTAATCAATTAGCTTTAATTTGACAGTTCTGATTCTAATATTCATTTATCCTCTTAAATCAGTTCTTCCCAGCTACTTAGTCTTTCTTCCTCTTTCCTAGCTTGCACTTTGCATTTTTTATTTTTTCAATTTTTCA